CAAACACAAGGTAGTGAAAACCTTGGCTCATAAGACTGGAATTCTCCTAGTTTTAAAACTCGTTAGTTTTGTTCAGTTTAAAAAATAGGTGTAATTTTGCTGTAGTTTCAGAAATAGTGTGAGTCATTTTGATTCAATTTCAGAAATAGTATAGGTTATTTTGTTGTAGTTTTAGAAATAATGTAGGTTATTTTTATGTAATTCTAGGAATAATGTTTATTTTATTCCCTTCCGGAAATAGTATAGATTATTTTGGTTCAGTTTTCATAAATAGTGTGGGTTATTTCGTTGTAGTTCCAGTAATAGTGGGTTATTTTGCTGTAGTTCTAGAAATAGTGTGAGTTATTTTGGTTCAGTTTCAAAAATAGTGAGGGTTATTTTGCTGTAGTCCCATAAATAGTGTGAGTTATTTTGCTGTAGTTCTATAAATAGTATGAGTTATTTTGGTTTAGTTTCAGAAACAGTGTGGGTTATTCTGCTGTAGTTTCAAAAATAGTGTGAGTTATTTTGGTTCAGTTTCAGAAATAGTGTTGGTTATTTTGCTATAGTTTCAGAAATAGTGTTGGTTACAGAGCAATACCCAAATTGAACAAAAATATATCCATTTACATATTAATTCTCCCAAGAGTAGTCGTATTAAAGGTATGTTTAGAAGTGACTCCGGATTTCCAAAATCACTTGTGGCATAAGCATTCGCCTCTCTTATGTGTTTTCCTAGAAATTCACTTCCAAAATATTTAAATCGGGAATTAGTGTTACAAATTTAGGGGTTAGACGAATATGCATATAGCGGAAAATGTTGGTGGAGGTTTGGGAATTATATGAAGGAATGGAATTGGTCATGAATAAAAAGTAAATAAAAATCTCTAATTAAATAAGAAAACAAATAGTCTCCATTGGAGCTTTGGATTGGATCAGGATCCTCTCCTGAGCCTATCGTGAGGATCCTCCTGAGCAAGTCATCGGATCGTTAAAATTTTATCCAACGGTTATAAATAAGGAACTCCACTAAAAATTATAATAATTGTAACCGTTGGATAAAATTTCAATGGCCCGATGGGTTTGTTTAGACCATCTCCAACCCTTTGGCTAAAAGCCAAATTTTTTAGCCCGGAAAATTTGGCTTTTAGCCCAGAAACATCTTTTCTGCTCCAACCCTTCTGCCCTAAAATTTTAGCCCGGAATTATTAAAGAATGAACTTAGGCTAATTTTTTTCTTAAGTCAATTTTTAAAAATAAATAAATAAATATGTAGATTATTGTAAATTAATTTATGAACATTTTAATCTAAAAAAATTTAAATTCCGATAAACATTTGGCATTTAGCCAGCGGGGAAAGCTGGGGGGTATTTGGCCCAGAAATAACATTTGGCATTTAACCTAAAATTTTAACATGAGTTGGAGAGTGTTTGGGGGGGGGTAATTTGGCTTTTAGTTCAGGTTTGGAGATGGTCTTAGGAGGATCCTCCCGGTAGGCTCAGGAGAGGATCCTAATCCCTCTGGATTGACCCAACAATGGACACATAAATCGGACTTTGTCACTCTGCATGACTTCTGTCCCACTTCCTTATCCCATTAATCCCTCCATATTTATAGAACCAACCTGCATTCCATGGAGTTGCAATTCAAGGTTTTCGTGATTTTTCTGCTGTTTGCTTTTATATTTTATTTTTTGTAATTCTTTTTTCTGAATACTTTTGCGGCCAAGCAACAATGTTCCCAATAGCAAACCCTGACCTTAATATCCCACTCAATTCGAACAGCAAGACACCAAAGATTGAAAGATTGAATTGAAGTAAGTGGACCCAGGTTTTTCGTCAGTTGAGATTTTGGGCCAGAGCGGGTCTGACAAAGCAGTGACAGCGATACTCGAATGTTCGTCGACAAGGCAACAATCTCTCCTCTCCTCTCCTCTTCTTCTTCGCGAGAAGATTGTCATTTTCATGTCACCATTACAATTAGAAGGCCTATTTATAATTTTTGGGTAGGGCCGCTAAATTCAGGAGGACCTAATTATAGATTTGCTTATTGACATGATTTAGAGACGGCCCTAATCGTCGGCATCCGCGTCTCTTTATTTACCATATCGGTTTGGTAACTTTGATGTGTGCTTGACTGATCGTGGACAAATTTTCCATAGGATCATGTGACAATGACTGCAATCTAACCTCGTACTTTTCTCTTTCTTCTTACCTTCTGAATATTGACAGAGATCAATTTTTTTGCACTTATTTTGTGTGTCACTTCTTTGTAGTCTATTTTAGATTGACACGTATTAAGTTTATGAGAACAAATTTAAGGAGGATTAAGTTTACTAACTCGTGTCAATACGATAGAGGCCACATAGATGTTTCACGCAAAACGAGTGCAGAAGATTTGAACTCATACTAATATACATGTTAATTTGCCTTTTGGGTTTCCAAAAGAGCAACTCAACCAAAAAAACATACATAATTTGTATGATTTTTGCATATACCACTTTAACGCAGTGGTGGAAAGCAATCACGCTAATGCCCTGTGCGGATTTGATCCACATCGATTATCCTTCCCCCTAACAATTTACTATTTAAACCCACTAACGCTATTGCTTACTTAAAAAAAAAAAATATATATATATATATATATATATATTATTTTTAATTTTATTTTATTCCCACATTTACTAGCACCAATTATCAATCTACAGTAGAATAATTGTTCGAGCTTTGGCCAAGACAAGGTTGTTATTTGGCAATATCGACAAGTTATTATGGTTTAAACATAAAAATTAGAAATGTAAAATAAAATAAAATAAAAAAGCAATAGTTTATTATTCTTTATTGGTGTTACTGTTGAGAATGAATCTCACACGTAAAAATTGATAGACATTGCATGTGCTTATAAGTAATTAGGCAACTTTTCATATTGCTAATTGGTTTTATGGTGGAACCTCAACTTTGTTCATGGTATCAGAGTATGGTTGTTCCACGTGTGAAGCCCAACAACTACATGTTCCTCATATTAAGCGATTGATGTTGTCCACGTGTTAGATTAAGGCGTGTTGAGAGTGAATCCCACATAAAAAAGATGATGGATCTTGCATGTACTTATAAGTAATTGGGCTACTTCCCACATTGTTAATTGGTTTTATGGTTGAACCTCAAGTCTTTTTTTTTTTTTTTTTTTTTAACTACACACGCACATACATATATATATATATATTTATTAAGATAAATCATTATTAAAAGATAATTATGATAAAAACCATAATTTTATCTTTTAATGTTAATAAAATTAGGGATGTGCTATCCACACACCCCATTTTACTTCTCACACACCCCTTGATAATTTCTGTCCGTTGATCTTCTTCAATTCATTCCGATCTGACGGCCGAAAATTAAAAAGGTGTGTGAGAAGTAAAATGGGGTGTGTGGATATCATACCCCTAAAATTATCTTCATTTTTTCATCCGACGGTTGGAAACTATGCCCATTCAACGGCTTTCATTGCGCGGGCCAATAATGTAATTTTGGGTCCAAACAATATTTATTAAGGAGAGCTTGAGAGTTTGAAATTGTACAATAATTTACAAACAATTAAGTTTTGAACCCAAAACCTATACGTAAAAACCCAACACTCTATTAGCTATAATATTTGACACATGCAAAATTTTATTTTTCACTGATAGTCCATCACAGAAGGCCAAATTTCTGAACAATTTTAATTAGCTACACCGGATGAGAATGAAATAAAACGAAAAGAGTGCATAGTTCATATATCTATACTATTATTAAAAGAACCCTCCATGTCAACTTTTTGCCACTTTTTTTCCTAGCCCTCACTTTGATATACAATACTTACATAAGTAGGGCAAAATAGTAATTTTGTATCTTTTAGGAAAATGGCAATCATATCCCTATTTGTCCTATTTTACCCTCACTTTTGATACATAATATTTACATAAGAGCAAGTCCACCCCTAAGGACTTTGCGCCAGCACCCAGCGTATTTATCCACTCAAGTGAACAGTAATAGGCCAAGGCATCTCCACCCCTAAAAAAATGCGCTGGCACCTAGCGCATTTATTTGGTGTGTGTTTTTTTTTTTTTAAGTTTATTTCGGATAAGATTTTTAACCAATTTCGGATAAAATTTCAAATAAACTTAAAAAAAATACACACTAAAATAAAATTACATACTCATCAAATAAACTTAAAAAAAACACACTAAAATAAAATTACATAAACTCATCAAATAAATTAAGGATGAGCTTTTTGGTAATTTTTTTTCACACAAAAAGTATATGAAAGCTTTGGTAGAAGGTGTAGAAAATATTGAAATGTGGTGTAAGGTGGAAGATGAGGGTTAGGTATTTATAGAAAAAAATATTAACTTTTTTAAAATTTTACTGTATTTTTTTTAAAATAATCTGTATTTTTTTATATTTTTAATTAATTTTAATGTAGTTAATTAATCTGGACCGTTGAATTTGAAAAATATTCAAATCCAAGAGCCCAGGATCGGCCACGTGGCCAACGCCAGCAAATGGCCCAGCTTCTTGGTTAGCCTGTTTTGTGCTGGCCCAGAGACCAGCTTGGGCTGGGTGTAGGCTGTTTTGTGGGCTGGAGTGAATGGACAGAGTCCCAGCCTATTTTTTGTGCTGGGTGCTGGCCTAATTCACCACCGGTGGACTTGCTCTAAGGAGCACAAAACAGTAATTATGTAATGTTAAGATAAAATATGCACTTATTAAGAGAAATTGTCACACCATCATTATTTCATACTCTTTTTAAAATTTTAAAAACTAATCACTCCTTAATATAAAAAACAAAAAACAAAATGAAATTGTTCACACACACAAAGTGTGTGCTCATCTGCTAGTAAATATTATAATCAGAGCCTGGATGCTTTACATGAGAAGAGCATACAACTCCATATCTCTGAACTAATCCTCAACTGCTAGCTAGCCGAGCGCTAAATACCAGGATGGTACCAAGTAGTACAAATAGTGGCATGAATGCAACTACGTACGTACGTAATAGTTGTAACAGATGATCACTCTTATTCTACATAATAATATATGGAACCGAGCCAGCAAGCTAGTCATCCATGCATGCATCATCAGTTGGGAAATGGAGGCTTGTGTGGTGGTTTTTGAGGTGGCTTGACAGGGCGAGTTGGGGGCTTCTTCCCAGTACCAGTTGGGGGGTTTTAGTTTCCGAGGTGGCTTGTGATCTGAGTCTCTTCCCTCCTCCACCACATTCTCTTCAAGATGACCATCATGATGAGGTGGCTCATCTCCCTTACCCTTCGGTGGCTTATCTCCCTTACCCTTTGGAGGCTGCTTAACTGGCTTTGGTTTTGGGTCGTGTTCAGGGAATGGCTTGTGATCTCCATCGTCATTATGTTCAAGTGGGGTTGGTGGCTTGCCTTTTGGAGGTGGCTTTGGCTTCTTTCCCTTAGGAGGCAATTTCCCATCCAATGACTCTGCCTCTAATAAACGACGTCCGGTGTTTTGTTTGTGAGGCGGCTTGTGCTCCGGTGGTGGCTTCTTACCCTTGGGAGGTTCATCATGACCTGGGCTTCCCTTGTTCTTCGGTGGTGGCTTTTCTCCTTTTTGGGATTCCTGATCACCTGGGTGTCCTGGTTTGTGCTTGGGCGGTGGCTTCTCTCCTTTCTTCGGTGGCTCGTCACCTGGGTGTCCAATACCTGGGGTATGTCCTGGTGGTCCTCTCTTCGGTGGCTCATCACCTGGCTGTCCTGGTTTGTGCTCTGGTGGCGGCTTTTGTCCCTTTGGAGGCTGATTGTGCTCTTGAGGTGGCTTTTGTCCCTCGGGAAATTTGCCTTCCACCTCTAGCAAGTGGTGTTCATTGTGTGGTGGCTTGTGCTTGGGTGGAGGCTTCTCTCCTTTGCCCTTGAGGGGCTCGTTATGTTGGGTTGGGGGCTTCTTCTCCGGGAATGAGAAAGGCTCTTCCTTGTTAAGTGGGGTTGGAGTCTTGTAATTTGGTGGATTGTGGGAAGGAGGCTTGTGAATTGGGGGTTTCAGGGCAATAGAAGGAGTTGAAGTGGTGAAAACCACCACTCCGACAAGAAAAACTAGCACGTAATTGGGAGACATCTTTAGACTCTTATGTTCTGGGATGCTTCGAAACTAGTAGAAGTGAGTGGCTTTTTATAGTGATGGGACAACACATGTCGCCATGCACTTGGATTTTTTTAATGAAATGTGTGGACTCGTCGAATTTTGTATGGTTTGGTTTTTGTTATGTTTGTACAATTTTATATATGAGGAGGGGTCCATTTAGGGTTCTATTTGAGTTGAAATATTTGACAACTTTTACGTTCATACCGGGTAGGGGACCTGTAGGAAAGCTAAATTACACGGTTCACAACTCACATGCGGTCAGTGACCTGGTACTCTAGCATCACTGATCGATATTATATTAGAGATAATGTTTTAACTTTAGAAACGACAAGACAAATAGAAAATATAGCAAGTTGCTTTTGCTCGTTTTTCTTTTAAACAAGTTGGAGAAAACAATTTTACTTTCTTTTCGAAATAAGTTCGAACTAAATGGCCGTCTATATTCGTGCATATAGCCGACTGTATATGCACAAATAATTTTCAAGTTTTCTCTTCCATAAACTAGAAATATTGACTCAAATATTTGACGTTAATGCTATAAAAATATTGAGCTAATGATTTAGTAAAACAAACAATCCTTTGTAAAGTTATTCACACACAAATTATATATTAATCCATCGAATTGTAGTATATATCTCGAATATAAAAGAGATTCACTTCAGCAAATTCAGAGACTTATACCAAGTTAACAGACTATAGCGTAGACCAAATAGTTGTAAGAAATGAAACTCACTTGTGCATCAAATAAATATGGTACACAAGACATTACTCTTTCTTTTTGTTCTATTCCAACGATAATTAGTGCCGCCTTCAATGGTTTAAAGATATGGCTTATCAAGTTGTGATAAGATTGAGTGTGGTTTTAGGTTCTTTTTCACCTAGTGATTCATGATGCTGGCTTATTATATGCTATCCATAATCACTTTAAGGAAATAAATTATGGAAACTAAATTCACTTTTGGAAAAGCTAGCATGATGAAATTAATAGGATAAAATCATCGGTCCACAGATTTTGCTTTTTGTACCAAGATCTTGTGTATCCGGTAGAATGATGGAAGATATTTTACCGACTATATATTTTAAGGAAAACTAATGAAAAAACTTAAAAATTTTGAGTTTTAACGATAAGGACAAAATAAAGGGTAAAATGAATAGTATCATGGTTGACTTTTTAGTGTAAAAATGTAGTTTTTCATTAAAGTGAATAATACTGGAAGTTTTTTGTTAAAGTTCTATGTATTTTATTTGTTTTAAGTTTTTTTGTTAATTACTACTAATCCCTATATCAGCGAGCCTGCAATGGTCTTTCTCCTTTTTCCACTTAGGATGATGACATGTATTTAATGTCGATATAAACGACACTAAATCGCAAGTTGTTTTAGTGCATAGTTTGCGTGGCTAGATAGCAGCTAGCTAGTTAAGCAGAGGCTGGCATGATTTCACGTAAACAACATAAAGCAATTTCAAGAACCGATGTCAAGATTATAAGAGTTGAGTGTATTTGTGGTACTCTTAAGTGTTTTACAAGTTTTGTCAAGAGCATTGAAATCTTTTCTTTTCTGTTATGTGAATTGTGAATGACTGAAGAGATAAACTTTTAGTACCCATTTGAATGGAGGAATTCCAAATCTATGGATTTTTTTGATAAAATTAAAAGATTAAATTGGTTGTTTCAACTATTACAATCATTATATGCGACTATTTAAATAAGTGAAGGAAGAAAACAAATGAGTTTCAAATAATTCCTTGCATATTGTTATTTCAAATTCATTTAAACGTACTACTTTGTGTGTAGTTGTAATCTTATTTGTCAATTCCAAAACGTTTCTCTTAAACTTCTTCCATGCGAAGAGAGAGCATTTTAATACTTCTCTTCAATTCTTAAAAGGTTTCCACAACTCGAAGCCTCTGGGCCAGTCAAAAAATGCAGAGAAGTTGAAGGTCAAATGGTCCATCTAGCTTCCGTGATATAGATGCAACATGATCGAAATTTCCTTTTGTTTGCTTTCAGGTCTATATGGTTGCGTTTGCATGTGCTGCTGTGCATGCACTTATATGTTGTCGGTGTAGTGACATTGTGTGAAAGCATGAAGGCAGTTGTATGAGTCATGTGGCTGCTTTTTCTACAGGATCTGAAGAAAATTCTCTCTGTCACCTCGCCATGTAAGGTTACTAATTTATTTATGCTATAACATTTATGTACTTATTCAAAATTATATTCTCTAGGTCCCTAATATTCATCAATTATGTTATTCATGTAGATGGTTTAGTAGCACTTTGGGATAGTGTCACACCACAAAGTTCACGATGAAGAGATTTTTTATTTGACGTCACTTCACCTGGAGGTCACAAATCTACTCATTAGGTTGTTAATGGATACCTATTAAGACTCATTTAGTTTAATTTCACCTTACATTATCGTCACCACTATCAATCTTACATTTATATTATAATGATATCAAATTAAACAGGTCTTAATGGATACCCGTTAACAATCTAATGAATTGACTAGCAGCCTCTAACTTCACCAAGTAGCTAGAGTTATCATTACTTACAACTATAACACATACATACTTATTTATTATATTAATCTTAAGTTCCAAATTAATCATTTATCATGTTCTTTATACAGCCTACAAAATTACATGAATTAGTAACATAGTCACACTACAAAGTTTCTGAAGATTCTCTTCTGCAATTTTGTACCTCAGCCTTTCAACTTGTGGGACATTCTGTTGACTCTTTGTATAACTACCCTAGTCAGCGAGATGAAGTAAAGCCAGACTTCTATGCATTTCACAACATAAAGCATAACATAGTATCAAGGCATGCATGTGGACACAATTAAGTATTCCGTTACATTTTGCAAGTGGTTTTGTACTGGTCCTAGCATATATGTTCACGAGCAGTATATAAAGTCGACATTATGATGAGATCCCTGGTTGATCTCTGCGGCTCTGCCGACATGTTCTTCACAGCTTAGGGTATTGACAAAGATAAAATATAGTTGTTTTTCTTTATTTTTATACCAGCACCAGTGTGGTGAAATTGAGCTCAACACATCCAATGCATATTAAATATTTTTAACCAATTAAGCTACGAATTTCTTACAATATTATTATTATATATTGTTAAAATTTTAGAAATGCGAGCTTAATGGTTCAACACCAATATTATTCTCAAGTTAACCATTTGTAGCCTAAGAGGTGAAAGATTTTTTCCTTAAGACCTCGGCGTACTTAGGATAAAACTATTGTACATAATTTGTAATATTTTGTCAAATCTTCATTGTGGGATTTCCGCGCTACCTCATGTGGAACCATATCTCCAATCGGCCACACGTGAAGAGAACTTCAACATTGGGAATGGAAAGACAAGCACGTGAATGTTGAATATAAGTCCCACATTGGAGAATTAACAATATATAAGTATATGAGTTCACTCCGAAAAATAAAGACGTCTTTGTAATAAAACCCAACAACCACTAATAGGTGATTCAATTAGGATAATATTGGCGTGGTTAGGAGTGGGCCAGTGACTGGTCTCCTTGATGATCAGACATTGTACCAAAGCAGGTTTGATTATGAGTCATGTGGGTATCATGCTTGAGTTATTGTGATTAATGTACCACCATGCTTCCACACTTAATCTCGAATGTGGGATCGGCTGCACTTGTGGCCCACTATGTTTTGGTCACATGAGAGGGGGCATGTTGAATATAAGTCTCAAATCGGGAGATTGTAATACCCCGTATTTAAAAAATTGGAGAACTTGAGTATGTAATTTTGGATATCTCCACTTTAGATATTTTTGTGGTATCTTATGTGGCAATTTGCAATCATCAGAAACTCATTATTATGGTGATTATTCACTACTCTATAGTGATGGAGTGGAAGTCTATATAGCATAAGTGCATGTGTCTAAGTGCATGAGTTTGGCTTTATTTTCTCACAAAGGCTAAGTAGAGTTTTGCCAACCATTAGAGAATAAAGAGGAGGGGTTAGTCACCACTCTAGATAGGTTGAGGTGAAAGTTGGTAATTAATAGAAGCTAATAATTAGGGTGTGGAGGTGGGAAGCCTTTGGCTTATACGTATGGCTAAGTGTTGAGTTTGGTTTGCTATTTTTTCCAAGTAGAAGTGAGTTGGCAAGTTGAGTTAATGTAGAGAGATTACTCACCCCTAAACATTTGAGAGGTGTGAGTCTATATAGAGCCATAGACTAGGTATGTGTATGTATTGGCATGCATGTGGCAATATGTTGTTGTTTTAGAGTGCTTACTCACTAGCCTAGGAGAATTTTAATTAATTGTCTATATTCTCTCTTCAATGCTTCAATCTATCATTCCAAATTTTCTAATGAGGTGAGAACGGGTGGGATGCATATTCCTTAGAGATGAACATGGCCTTGGATGCTTGTATCCACCTTGCATAATATTGATTAGCTTCACACATGTCTCTTTGCCATTTGAACACATATTAGAGCTAAGGTTTTGCTTAACATTTGTTGCCTTGTGATTGGAACAATTTCATGGTGATGATTAGGCTTTAAGCCATCCTCCCTTTCATATTACCCAATTACCTTTCTTTTACTTATTGTTAAGGCTTTAAGCCATCTTTCATTGTATTTGTATGACCCTCATATATAGTGAAATACAATGAAAGCAAACACCAATGGATGTAGTCGATTTGGTGAACCACTTAAATCTTGTGTTGTTTACATTTTGAGATCATTGTTATGAAAGCACTCTCACTAAACCATCAAAAATATCCATTTACTTCCCTTGAGAATATTGTAAAATAAGGGGGGAACAAATCCCAGAGAAATACATGAAACCTTGCCCAACCAATCTCCACCAAACTCCATCTATCAAAAGAAAGATATCCAAAAACTAGAAATTCGTCCAGCCTATTTAACAGACTAAAACACCATCATCCATAGATTATATCATAATACTTTCTTCAGGAGAGTTGT